ACCACTATCTACGACCCAGACAAAGGCAACATCAAGGCTGGTCCCAACATGAATCACTCTCGGCAGTTCTGCAGGTAAGAGATTATTAACGTAGCAGTGCCACATGTAAGTTAAATCCCCGGTGTGGAATTTGAAAAAAATGTCAAAAGCGGAAATTGCAGGTCTGTTTTGTGTGAAGCTTAAAAAAATGTTTGACATTATTATGCAACCTCAAAAACATGCAAAATTCAAGCTCGTTAGTAATCTGACAGTCTCTGTTTCATGACGCAGGTAAACGCACAGGGAAAATGTATTCAGGCCAGTTAATTAAAACTTGAACAAAGCCAGTCTATCGCAGTGCATTTAGCTTGTAAAACTTCTCCCTTGGTAGAAAATTTTCTTTCTAATTCATGGGCTTGATTTTTTACAATTGCTTGATCAGTAACGTCGCTGTCTGTCATGCTGAGAGAAACAAGACACATCCGCTGGAATAACAGGGACTCGGCTTGATTTAATCAACTTTCTTTCAAAGCATTTAATTACTATTTTATCCTGAGTTAATACTGTGATATATAAGTCATTTGTATTTTTTTTTATTTTTTTTGCATAGTTAGGTGAGTGTAATGTTTGTGTTCAAAGCAAACAAAGAAAAGGCAGTACACACCTGTAACTTTTATACCATTTATGGGCACGTAATAGTTGATAAAGGGAGATAAATGAAAACAAATAACAGTGGGATCATATCCTAATACCCTAGTCAGCTCGAGCCACTGACGTGTGCAGTTTGCTGGATAATAAACCCACTGTTTTTCTGCAGAAGCTGAGAAAGAAAGAAGCATGCACAAAATACATTTGGGAAGCAATTATAGGCAGTGATCTTATGTGCAGAATGTATAACATAAATCATGTTGTCAGAGTTATTGATAAGCTGCACCAGCACACGCCAGGCAGCTGTTCTGCTACATTTAACTAAGTCTGACACGAGCGAGGAAGAGATGCGTGGAAGGAGGGAGAATAAGAAACACACAGAGCAGGCAAAAGAGAAACGCACAAACACTCAGAAACGGCACTATCTGCAGTGCTCCTGCACCAGAAGATGGTAACAGGTCATCGTGCAGGAGAGCTGATATTCTCCCTGTGCTGCATCCGGCCCTCTGCAGGCCTGCACCTCTCCTCTGTTTATCAGGACGAGCAGCTCTAAGCTTTGCCCTGCACTCTCTCCATTTTGGATCAGCTGTGCTTTCTCTCTGAGTAGATTTAGGATTTATGTAATAATCTTTGTCAGTCCCAACAGTGTTGTGAATTTGTGCAATAGGACTGCATGTTGTTTGCCGTGTGTGTGTGTGTGTGTGTGTGTTTGAGCGTGCACCTTATGTAAATGCAGATCGTTCCAAACCCCAATAGGAGTACAAAGCCCTAATCAGCTTACAGCCCAAGTTTTAATCCTCTACGCACACAAACTCCTGTTTCTGTTTCTCATATCAAATGAGCACATTTGTACAGATATTTGCTTTTTCGTTTGTTTTCTCTCTCGCATTCAAGAGGCAATGTAATGTGTGTTGTACACACCCCACCCACCCCCACCCCGCCTTCCTTACGAAGTACACTTGTTGGGTGTCGAGCATGTGAGTGATGTCAAACAATGTCAGGCGTGGCCCCCAGCGTGACAATCAGCACATTTATGGAGATGTTGTCTTCTGTCTGGCTTTGTTGTCTGATCACAATGAACAATAAGAACAGTATTCCTGCTGCTGTGTGTCATAGATATCTCATATCAAAGCCACATAAGGTCGTATTTGCTTTCACTTGCTCATCTTCCTGACACAGATTATCTAATTATTATTTGTTCATAACAGTCGGTGCTTAGCGATAGGAAATGTTGGGTTAGCAGTAACTTCATACAGCTATGATACGGCTGTAAGAGTGAACAGTAAACAGTGAGGTACAAACAGTAACGCTGGATTATAAGCATGCATTGTTTCCTGTGAATCCTTCACGTGTAGACAGGTAGGTGTTTTGAATCCAGATCGGAAATGACAGACTCTGCCACTAACAGTAAAAACTAGTAATTAGAGAGGTAATTACACACTGTAAATATGTTGCTTATTGGTGAAAAAATGGCAACATAAATATCAAAAACATAGATTGATTTAATGAAAATCTTAAAGGAATAGTTTTAGGGAATACACATTCACTTTCTGGCAGTTAGATCAGAAGATTGAAACCACAGGTTTTTATTGTAAATTTAATGAGGTTATATGCTTTTTTTGCTATTTACCTTCCTTTAATGTGTAATATTTTTTTATTGCATGAAATAGGTTTGCAAAGTGAAAAAGCCCAAAGCCCATACCAAAGGGAGTTCCCATCTCCCACAGAAAACACTGCTCTGAACTGCCTGAAAACAGCTTGATGGTAGTCCAGCCTTTACTTCCGTTAACTATCTGCGTCACTTTGTAATACGCATCTAAACTGCTCCACAAGTACACCTAAATATGAAATTAAAATAAATAATTAATACTGTCCAGACTGTCAATGGGCATAAAGTTGTTACTATGATGTAGACACAGTTGCACAGTTAAAACGTTACCTATGAAAGATACATTTGTTACAAATTAATAACTTGCCACTCTGAAATGTCTTGCTCCAGTTTGGAAGCTGGTTTGGGTTGTGCTGCCTGTGTTTCGGGATCAGACTCGGGCTCGAACATGTTTCAAAGCCATGGTTTGGATCACACTACCTCGCTTGGCAGGACCTGCCCTACTGCTTCTTGCTCATGTGCAACTCCCAACCCCTCAGTAGCTAAAATGGAGCATTCAACACACAGGTTTTTTTGAAAATGAAACCATGTAAACCTGTTCTGGTACAACCCTTAAATAAAATACCTGAAAATGAAGCCTTTAAGGCTACAGCCTGCAGAAAGTTAGCATAAGATTGGAAATGGGGTAAAACAGCTAGCCTGCCTTTTTAAAATTGTAACAGAACCCTTCTAGCAGGACCTCTATTGCTCACCCATTAACACATTTCTTGTTTGTTTATTCCGTACAAAAATGTGTGTAAAAACAATTACAGGGTATGTGCCAGATTATTTCTTGGCCACAACCAGTAACTTCCTAGAATTTCCACAGGTTGCCAGACATCTGCTCAGACATAGTTTGAGAAAGATGTAACAAATTAAATGAAATATAAAATAGGCTGATTTACTATTTAGACAGAGCCAGGCTAGCCGTTTCCCCCAGTTTAGTCTTTGTGCTAAGCTAACTGGCTATTAGCTTTATATTTAACAGACAGATGAGTGGTATCAATCTTCTCATCTTACTTAAGGTGGATACGCTTATTTTCTAAAATATCTGACTGACTATAACTTATAAGGAGGATATCTGAACTAAACAAAAGTCTGTGTCTGCCTTTGCAGCGCTGTGATCCTGGATGGAAAGATCTACGCCACAGGAGGCATCGTGAGCAGCGAGGGTCCAGCCCTCAGCAACATGGAGACCTTCGACCCTTGCACCAACACTTGGACGCTCTTGCAGTCGCTACCCTGCCCGCTCTTCAGACACGGCTGTGTGGTCATCAAGAAGTACATTCAGAGCGGATGAGGGTGGCTCAGACCCGATCACACTGGGTAGACGCCAAACACCAGCTGAGCTCGGTTGTGGGTTGATGCGCGACGGCAGTTTAGGCCCGGGCCGGTCAGTCGGTGACCTCTGGACTTGACGCCAGCATCCATCCACCCAATTACCTGTCCCACCATTCAATTAAGCCCTGTGCAGAATGTACTCATGTTCAACTACTCAGCCATGTCAGGTGACGATGCCTAACCTCCAGTACTGTATGTGTCACGGTGGTAGTTCATCCTCTCATCCAACAGGCACAGGGACCCTCTTAGTAAATTACAAACTCCTTTGTTTTTGATGAACTCATTGTTTCAATTGTGTCTTATCCACATCTTTGTAAATTCACCACCTCCCCATTTCTTTACTATACTCTGTCCCTTTTTGAGAATTTTGTTTGACAAGTAGAGGTTTCATGACCATTCATTAGAGAGCAGTTTCTTTGTGGTGTACAGATGTTTTTCAGTAGTGACATCTACAGGACAGGAGGAAAAGTGAAGGAAAGGAATCCAACTGTTTTCCACTTTGTCAGTGGATTTGAAGAGTTTCTTCTCTCTCTGCTACATCAGGAAATGAAATTCCTACTACAAGAGTAGATTTATGGGGTGATTTTAAAAGCAGATTTTGAACACTATGTAACCTGGTTCTTTTAATGATTTGCTAAACATAGGAACAAACACCAATTCTAGGTCAGGTGATTGTGTATGGCCTGATTTTTCCCCCTTGTCTTGCTTTCTGGGACAAAGACAGCACTGCATTTAGAAAGAGAGAGGGAATTCCTCTGTCCGCTGACGTCTGATCAGATATTCAAGTTACAACAGTTCCTCCGGAAAAAAAGCACAATAACCACCTGTGACTGTTATCATAGAAGTTATATGTTGATCCTTGTTTTATGTCTTTCATCAGTTTCCCCAACCTTCTTTTTGTTTTATACAATGTGTTTCATTGCAACCCACAAATGATATTGGGTTGGTATTCTGTAAATACAGGAAGGAAATATGTATATTTTAAAACCTGAAGGCAATTCTGTATAAATGTTTTTAGAAAAAAATACCCTGACAGGTTGGCTTCAAAATGGTATGTCTGTAAATCTGTACCCAAAAAGGAGAAATTAACAATTGTTATTATTGAAACCTAAATACATATACCAGAACATGAAGACATTGTCTAGTCTTTTTTTGGTTTACTGTATCATGAATCAAGGGTATAGTAATGAGAAGCACTCTACTCAATACAGGTAAGTGGCTTTGTTTACATCCCAAACTACGGGCTTCTAATGTGCATTTACAACAGAAGTACATTCTGGTGTGTAAAAATACCAAGGTGTGATTTTTAAAAAGGAGATTCGACTTCACAAATGTTTTCAAAAAAAATTGAACTTCACAGTAAGAAAAATCAACACTTGAAATGTACAGTTTGCACCTTTTTATTCAAGTATATCACAGCAGTTTATTTGAGAAATACAGTAAATGTTTCATTTTGAATATAACTTACACTAAAGTAACAATTGCGTACGTGTTAAATACACAAAATGAACAGAACTGACAAAGCTATGGAAAGTCTTGACTAAATTAACTGGGGGAAAAAAAAAAAAAAAAAAAAAAAAACAGGGAAGAAAAAAGAAATTCGGGATAGAACAAACCCTTTCCTTCTGCATACTGGACTAAGTAGTCTCAACTACCAGACAAAAATTGGTTGTTAGTCCAAACTGGCTACAATTTATAATAAGAAAGGAAGATCACAATGTATGACATTTAACTACCCATATTTTATTTCCATATGTGTATCTAAATTCATAAAAAATAACTCTTTTGGCAGAAAGTGGAGACAAAGTGAACAACATGAAAAGAACGTTAATCTGGTCCTGTTTCTCCTACTGCAATGTACTAGACAGACTTTATGTATTTTTATATATATTATATATATATAAAAAAATCACTTCTGTCCTAATGTTAGTCTTTTCCAGTATGCCACAGTCTGTAAACCACTTCAACAAAGAAAACACCAGGACAATGAAATAAATACAAATGTTGAAAGGGCATGTTGTCGCGTGTTGAACCTGAGAGACCTGTAAACCCTTTATTCCCCCTACACGCCAAATAAACCTGCTACACAAACGCTACGCAATTCAGCAAAATTGTTAAAAATGAACTTGTGATACTTCCCGATTTGTTAAATTCCAAATGTACAAAAAGACAGTTTACTGAATATTAGGTGAAAAATGTGTTTAATAATAAATACTCAGAATCATGAGATGAAAAATCTGAAAAAACAAATAATTTCAAAAAAAAAACAAAGGCGATGGATGTGTAAAGAGGCAGAAAATGCTCTTTATAGCTTCTAAGGTATGGGGTGATAACATGAAAGAGGAGCAGATCTAGGATTATCTCCTCAGTGTCAAGGTACAGTAGAAATTAAGAGAACCTGAAACTAAAGCATAACATTTACAGTCATGAAATATCCTTAAAAATGTATGCAATCATCATCATCTGGCTCAAATGCAAACATACATAACAATTGGAGAGATACAAACAACTCTTGGATTACTGCAGCAGCTGTGGTTGCTCTAATCTGGTACCTTAGATGTTGCAACAGTATTTCAGGGTGAGAAAATACTGTTTTGTACCCAGTAAACAGTTTTCGCATTAAAATAAATTAAGCTGAGGTAGCGTTGGTTTTTCTCTCTGCAGTAGTCCAAGTGCTAACCTGTCATTGCCAGTTTGCATATGGTCTTTGCGTTTGTCACCTAGAATCCGAGAAAAGGCAGAGGTGAGCTGGGGTCAGAGTTGCACCAAGAGGTTTGAGGACTGGATAAGAGTGCTTTGAGAGGGGGGGTGGGGGGGGGCTTCTCCAGTCTACACCTGCTCAAAATATGGCATCTCCAAAACCATGAAAATGCCATTAAAACCTTATAAAGCTTCAGTAAATACCTTACATTTACTGCAGTCTGAAAACATACACTGTGTTGGCCACAGATCCAGCATCTCTTGTCTGGTGTTGAGAAAAACAAAATGAAATAAATCCATAAAGTAGGTACACACATTTGAAGGGAGGAAAAAAACAAAACATGTAATGCTTTATACACCTTAGTGACGAGCACTGCCTAGGATGGCCTTGTTCATTGTGGATTCACAACCCATGTGATAATCAACTCAAGCAAAGCATTTTGTAAAAAAAACAAAACATAAAAAATAATTAGCAAATACACAACATAATACATAGGTTATGACCATCTAATAGAACATTTTCATAGTTGAAACAGAATTCCTGTGAACAGGCACTGTTACATCAGCACCTTTTGGGGGAGTGGGATAACACTTGGCACTATAAATCATTTGACTCGCATCATTATTCTTTGCATATGAAAAAATGAAGAAAAGCTGGTGTTGACAACCTCTTCTTACACCTGCTGTCTGCTCAGGTGGAGACTGACCTCCCCAACGGGTCTGGGTTTAACAGGGCATGAATACATTTAAATATCGTAACATTTCAAGTGTTAGAGACGTATCTGGCCAGACACCGACACAGCCACATAAGTTATCATCTAAACATTTTAAAATGTTGTCAATTAATTTTTTGGCCCAGGTTGGAGATGTATAATGTGGATATGTTTTAAAAGACCTAATGGCGTGGGGATATATATCTATTTTTTTGCTTCAAGGTCACTATGACCTCAGTGGTTAGTACCCACCCCAACTTGGAGCCTGTTCATTGTTACAAAGTAGTAAATAAAAAATCCTGCTAACTTTGTCAGAGTTTCATTTGAGGTTTTAAGTAAGGCACACACTAGGCAGTGCAAACTCTCGACGCATCCAATTGGTACTGCTTCCAGTTCCTCAGCCAGGGTGTCGGTAGGAACAACTGGCGGGCACAGCTTGGGTGGGAGGGAAAACATTCAGACTGAATGTAGTGAGGAGGAGGTGCAGCTACCACAAAACTATTAAGGACATGGCAATCTGCTAAGACTGAACACCAGAGGTGGTCTATGAGTGAATGTTTCGAGTGAGATGGTTGTATAGCTGACTAACAGGCGACGCTCGTTCACCAGTCAAACACTGAGGGGGCCAACAGCTTTCCACACCTGATGGCCGCTGTAATGAAGAGGACATAATCGGTTCTTGTCCCGCTGTGCTAACCTCATCAAGTTTCTGTTCGCACCAAAACTTCTTTGTAAACTATTGTTCTGGGTGAGTGTCCTTGACGGTGGCTCAGATATTGAACTAATCAAGTAGCTAAAATGGCAGAAAAAAATGAGCCATCTAATAGCATGGTAACAACTGGCCTATGATGAAGCTTTCCACTCGAGGGCAAGATGGGCTCAGCAACGTAGTTCAGTGATTCAGAACATTATCTGTCCTCATCTCCTAGCGGCACTCTGCATTCACACTTCTGCTGGTGAGGATCTGAGTGAGTGAGTGTGTGTGTGTGTGTTTGTAGATGTACATGCATACCCAAGTGTCAAGGTGTGGGTGGGTGTGGGTGTGTGTGTGAGGGGTGTATGTATGGTTTTCGATATGACATCACCAGATCTGTTGGTTTTGCTAGTCATCCAAGTTAAGAAGTAATCCCAAGAGCAGCATGGATAAAAGTTAGAATAGCACCCAAGTAGCACCAGGGTTGCCCGTCACCATCGGTGTGTGTGCGTGTGTGTGTGTGTGACTGACAGACACACCTCAGGGGAGTTTGGTTGTGTAGAATGGGTCTGGATCTGGCCAGGTTCCTGAGACGATAGCACCATTGAATGTCTCTGTCCTCAACCTCGTCCTTGTTGTGTTACCTCCCAGCAAGAGGAGGGCGCTGGATTTTCTCTGTGTTTTTTAGTTGAGGGCTGGACTCAAAAGCTCCTTCACTCACTCAGTTGTGTCTTTGTGGTCCCAGGCTGTTCAGGATCTACCTGAATCTGTCCATCTCACAGGAATGTATCAAAATGCTGGATTCTCTCCTCCATCTCCTACGCCACAAACAGAGAGACACACACACACATTAACACATACTGCTTAGTCTCAACCAACACAGCAAACCAATGTGTGTATAAAGCATCTGTGCGCCACACTTTCAATATTAGTTGGAAATTTACCACCACAAACACCAGCTTTCACCATGATAAATGATGTAAAATGAAGCAAAGCTGTGCTGGAATGAGACGCGTGATTTTTCTCAGCATGAAAACAGCAGAGTTTGACACTGACTAAATCTGAACAGAGCCGGAGGAATAGAGATGGATGTTAGCCTGCAATAGACCATGATTAATGCCTTGAAGATGTTACGCCGTGTGTGTTGTCTCATCTGAATGGCTGAGTCAGTGCGACAGGCGCTGCTACAAGATACCAATTTCAACATCTACAACAAAAAGTTAAAAACTATCAACTGTACAGTAAAAAGCAATTTAACACTTCTAAAGAGAAGTTAACTTTCAGGGAGTTACAGTCCACTAAAAACTCTGCACCTCACACCAACATGGCTAAATCATATTTACGCAAATGGCTGTGCTTAATAATCAATTTTCTGCAGATACTACAAACTGCTTTTTCAGCTAAGAAGTACACAAATACTGAGTGCTTTCCTGTCTTTAACTGTGTGATGCCTTCTAAATTCTTCTTATAGACAAAAAGGGCATCCTTTTAAAGTGAAGCTGAAAGTCAATTGATTATCTTAATAACTGATTAAATGTTTAAGTCATTTTTAAAAATCAAAAAATGTCCCAAAGATAGCTAGTACCAGATCGCCAAATGTGAATATTTTACGGTTTTCTTAGTCTTGACTGTAACAATATATAGAATATTTTGGGTTGTGGACTGTAAATTGGACCAAACAAGCAAACTGAATGTGTCATGTTGGACTTTAGGAAATTGTGACGGGCATTTATTTTTAAAAACAATTTAATGATACTTATTTTACAAGTTTAGTTGATTTAGTGGGACTGTCCCAAGAAGTCATTTTATATTTATTACTAATTAATTCCAAAAAAGCTTAAAAATTCTCATGAATGTTTGGACCGACAGAAATGGCAACTTGAGTGCCACGTTGTTGCACCATTGTATATTTGCTTTGAATGCACAAGGTAACTTCTTATGATGAATACTTTTATTAATCCTTTCATGCCCACAAAAAAAAAACCAAAAAAAAAACATTTCAGATGGTGCTTAAGTCTACTGTTAAATAAAACTTTGAGTGCACAGTGGAAAGCTATTCATTTGACAATCTAGATAAAATGAAAACTATACTGCAATTTATTCTGAATAGATTAAAAAGGTCACAGGACTGAGGCTGAGTGTGATTCTCACTTCCCTTACAACCCCACTTAAAACATCAATTAAGCACTAAATAATACCCCAACAACTATCACCACCAGGTCACGTAAGATGTAAAACTCAAGGAAGGTATGAAAGCTGAAGTTGCTAATTTAGAAAATTTCCAGGAAGCTTCAGCTGATCAGGCAGACAGGTGTTAAAAGCATACATGTGTTCAGCGCACATGCTTTTAACACCTGTCTGTTTGCCGTGTCTCACTGTACACCCACAGACCAACGCGCAAATAAGCTCTTCGCTGCCTTGACGCTTTGCACCTCTGTAATCTCCGGTCTATCTGCCTGTAGGCAGTCTCCAAAACACAGCGGACAATCTAACAAGCCTCTGCAGGACCCTCTGCCTCACTAACCTACTCGGTGTCACGAACAGAAAGGTAGGCCTGTAGTGCTCTCTCTTTCTAGCATGAGTGGAAGTCGACCAGCATAGCAAAAAGGATTAATTCCTGTCGCTCAATAGGTACATCATGGCAGATTAACATATTTAGGAGTTTTAATTTCCCACTGGAGCCATCAGTACTATTCTTTAAAAGAAAAAAAAACAGCATTATGTGCCCTACACTGTTAAGATATCAATTTAGGATGTTCAACCCATTTGTGACAAAGGTGTTATGAATTACTTTGGCGTGCCCCCTTTCTTTGAACCTGTCTTCTCTACTTCCACCGCAGTTACTGATTTTCTCCATTTCCCAGATCAAATTTTCTACAACCCCTGGGAGAACAGGGTTCTCTCGGAGGTGTGTACGTGTAGGTTAGGAGAGCAAAAACAACATCATCTTAATTTTTTTTTCCCCGCAACAGAAAAAGTCAGTCGAGAAAGAACAATTTAGTGTATTGTGGCCTGGATGAAGGTGCTGTTTCACAAGCTTGGAGAGATACAAAAAAAAAGGCTGGGCTACATTGCATTCTGTTCTACAGAGACTACTGCCAATGGAGAAACTGATTTCTCTGCCTGTTTTATGATAGTTTTGTCTTTATATGACATATGTTCTGATGTTGCTTTGAGTAAACAAGCAATCTAAAAAAAGGTGTATTAATTGACCTGTAGGCCATAAACTTTTGCAGCAAACATACAAATAAGCAGAAATAACAAACCTATACGACAATCAGCTTACTCGACCAGACGCTTGTACAGCTCTGGGACCACACAGATTCAGGTTAAAGGCCAAAGACCGTTACAAAGCCTTAAATTGCTGTCTGAGATGCGGGCAAAATGTAATACAAGGCCTAGGGCAATATGAACGCTAATTTGTAGATAGAACATAGCTGGCGAGGTATTGTGTACAGAGCGGAGATGGTCCCTCTGGCTTTAACTGGAAGCAGGGTGCAGTCCACTCCATCTGCTGAAAGGTCAGCTCTTCTGGAAGACTGAGACAAGCCATACCCAGAGGAGGAAGGAGGGGTAAAGGAGACAAATGTATGGACACGCTCCATTTCACTCGTCTATACAACGTAGACACAAACACCATGCGCTTCAGCAGAGTGCAACATTAAGTGGAGAGTCATCAACCCTGCGTACGTGTGTGTATGTGCGCATTTTTGCATTCTCTAGGGGGGGGAACAAGGAGATGACCTGCTGCGGAGTTGAGGTATGTGTCGGAAACAGGCAAACAAAACACGTGCCAAACGAGCTGACATTTCTGCTCTGAAAACACCAATTTAGGCTGGCAGCATGAAATGAGCCCAGACGTGCCCCCTTCCCCTCCTCCACCAGCCGGCCTGTCGACAGGCGGCACCACCTGGCTGACTGCTCTCTCCCTCTCTCTCTCTACCGCTCCCTCTCTCTGACACCCCTGACAGCCGGTTCTGGCTACCAGCACCAGGACACTGCCATTCCTGGCCCGCTGTCTGCACTGACATCCTACAGCGGCAGAAGATGACCAGATGGGATTCTGGGAAAATATACAGCGGCTCTTTTTGTGTGGACCATTGTCAAGAGAGATTAAACATTGAAACAGGAAAATTTATTATCATATATTATGGGTCTTATTGTTAACCCTTAACTCACAATATGTATCGTTTGTTTTATTTTCTAAAGAAACCACTTCCAGTCACTATTTTCCATCCAGCCCGTCTCAGTGTGTATGTATGTTTACATTGAACCTATCAAAAAAGACACAGTGGATAAAACACTTCTCAGATATAATTTGCCCCCATCCACTTTTCCAACGCCTTGCACTGTATAAGTTTAATAAATGTTACCAGTTGTTTAGAACCTCCCTATCAAAATGGCAACATGTGGCTTCAATACAGCTTTGCAGAACTACCACTTTCTTTTGTACTGCACACAAAAGATGCCCCCTTTTAGACAGCTGTGAATCTCACATTCACTTACAACTGAACTGGCCTTGTTCACATATTCTCTTAGAAGCTTAAACCCCCTTTCTGGTTATCTAGCAACAAGGTGTTGGGGCAAGCATTGTGTGGTGAAAAGATAAGAGGTTGGAATCATGCAAGGGCCTCTCAAAGAGCTGTAACAAACGATTCTTTTCACTATCAGTTGATCAGCTGATTATTTTTTCCTTTCAAAGTCTATATAAAGTGTTAAAATATTGGGAAATGCTTCCATTGTCAAAAATCTAAAAATACTGATTTTCCGATTATGGGAAAAATGGAAATATTCACCTTTGAGAAGCTAGAACCAAGAACTTAACCATTTTTGCCCCGATTCATTTTCTGTCAATGAACTGATCAATTAATCAGCTTTCAGCCCTCGTCTCTCAGTAGCTACATTTCATAGTACTAAGTGATGTGATTATATCATTTTAACCTGACTAATGATTTATTGGGAATTATCTGCACAGTCCAGCCTTGTGGGCTTCTAAGGTGTTTCTGACCTCCAGTAGCTGAGTCTTTTCATACTCTCTGCGGTGCTGGTAGATACACTGACTGAGAAGGGAGTACAGTCTCTCCAGCTGCTCCACGCTGTAGCCCTCACTCTTCTTCACCACCATATCCAGTAGAGCCTGAGGAGAATGATACAAACAAACATTGCAAATAAAGAATTAAAAGATTATTTACTCATCACTTCTCAAGGACTATAGATTATCAATGATATCCATAAGCATGTGAATGGACAAACAATAATGAGACAGCCACAAACAGACAAGCATACAGCGCTGAATAACTCGTCACACAAGCTAGGCTCTGATGTTGGTGCATGGAGATGAAGCATTTGGAGGTCAGCTGTATTCAAAAGCAATTAAAATCAGAGTGACAGCTAATTAAGGCTAATCATAATTAGAACCGAGTTTACATTTCACTGCTACTTTAATTAAAACATTCTGGACAGTCAAAGGCCCTTTTAATTGACCGGTTCCTCACATTTTAACCTAGCCAAAGTCTCTTTGTATATGTGCGTCTATTTAAACACAGGACTCATCAGAATGCATGAACGCAGACAGCAAAAGCACAATAATTAAAGTTACCATCGCTGACACAAGGCAAACTGAGAAACCACCAACTGATGAAATGGTGTGTGTGTGTGACAGTCTCCATGTGTTAAACACATAAAACCAAAGCAATGTCAAGATTAATAAGACGTGGATGTTTGTCAAAGCCTCTCATCAGCAGACGTGTGAGAGATAATTACAGAGCAAAAGAAAATTATGGAGGCAAAAAGGTTAGCATTGTATTAATCACTGTACTCCATCTGACTATGATTTCTCTTTAAATGACAGAACAGTTGTCTTGATTAAAGTAACAGACTACTGCATCACGTCAACAAAAACTTTCCTTAATCCCAAGACAGACTTAACTCGTGACCGGGAAGTTGACCTTGAGAGGAATACTTCACTTTGGTAGGGCTTTTTCACTTTTCAGCACAAACACCTCTAATGGAGTTACAGAAAAGTGAATTTCAATCACACGCTGCCCTTGGGATCCTACATGACTATTTCCCCATAGTGCTCAAGCTAAATATTATGAAGCGGCAAAATTATTTCTCAAAATATGACAGCGGAAACATTATGGATACAACGTCGCCTGGGTCCACAATGCCACGTTTAGGTGTTTGTGTATGTGCTCTATACTTGGTTGCCAAAATATTATCAAACAGCACTGACTGAGAAATTCTCCTAGGACAACCATGTTATTCAGCTATTTTTTCACACTACAATGCTGACAGCAAAAGTAATGGGTGACAGGGGAGATTATTAGGCCTTTTCAGAGGACAGCATTCTTAAGAGTGCCTTCTTGTTTTTGATTTTTTTTGGTGCATCACAGAAACCCATTATAACAGCGTAAAAAGAATTCTTCCACACACTGAGCGCCACAGTAGTGAGAGAGAAATTACATGTGTTACAGGATTAGACGCTTATTAGCTATTTAACTCCTAAGGCAATCAAAATGTTTTACACTTTTTCAACATTTATTTATGATGCCATTATCTGCATAAAAGTTTTAAGGTTTTGCATTTTGAATAGCAGCTTAACTTTAGTTCAAACACAGTCACTAAGGGGGAGAAAGAAGAAAACCTTTAAAATCTCTCTCTTGTATTCTGTCACTGAAACCATATTTCATTTTCCATACTTTCCCTGCTTGACTTCCAGTAGGTGATAACCATACTGAATTCAACAGTCTGGACACGTGATTTTAAGTAGATAATACTTTTCAAATATTCACACTTCCATAGCTTAACCTGGCCGTGTAGGAAGATTCACTGGTGAAATGCCTTTGACATGAAAACCTCTACCTGGGCAATAACTAATAACTATAGGACCCTTGACAAATAAAGTGTGCAAACACACACTAAGACCATTAAGAATTTCTCTAATAGTCAGAATTCATACACAGTAGTGATAATCATCACTTTGAGGATGATAATCGTCACAGCTGCCTTCAAAAAGTGCTGTCAGCTGCTTGTAGCTGCAGCTGTCAGATTTCACTGGATTCTTTTTTGTGCTTTCTATATGGTGACTCTGGTCTAACATCAAGGGAGTTCTCAGGTTTCATAGTTCTCAACCCAGCCACGAGAACTCATAATGGAGGACCAAATAGACCACATCAAGGTGAGATGCCAATTTTAACAACACATGCATAAAAGCTGTAATTAGCACCATTACAACCCATCTCTCATGTGTGTAATAATGTGAAATCTTCAGTAAGGCACTGCTGCAACATTCCTTTCATCCAACTGCCGCTGCATTTTTATCTATTTTTCATTGTTTCTCATCTCTTGCTTTAAGTGCACCTTCTCTCCTTTATAGTGCATCTTCTCACGTCCCGCCTATTTCAATGTTTTATAGAGGCTCTCCTCACATCTTCTTCAACCCAGTTTGCTTCCAGTGTATTTGTCTTTTTATTCTCTTCTTGTTCATGTCTTCCCTTCCCTTGTTCCCTCATTCTTCATCCCCTCAATTTATTCTCCTCTTACAGTTAGCCAGCTGATTGCGGCGGTGTACTTCCCAGCCTCTGCCAGCTTGATCAGGATGTCTGTGACAGTGTGGGGTAAATGGTGTGAGTGTGTCTTACACGGGCTCAGTGATTGAGTGAGCTCAATGCACACAAAAGGGCAGTAATCCCATGTGTTAAAGACTGCTACTGACATGGACCATTTAACCTCACCCCCTCTAAACTCCCCGTTCCATCTGCCCCTCCCCATCTTTACTCACATCTCTGTCAACCCCCATGCTTCTTAAGACCACAAATGGGGCTAAGAGGTTTTGGGATGACTGTGGTTTTGGGACACAAAGCAGAATAATGGTAGTTGGAGTTAATTAGTACCAAAATTCTACCTGTGAAAGAGGCGTTTAGCAGTTGTTAACTACCAGGATTTATTGCAACACAATTACTAATTAATACTGCATTCATCTTCTGGTAATTTGTTCAAACTTCTGACTGGACATTTACACTATTTAAATTGCATTTAGCAAAATCAAATTATTCATATTACCCATGCCATCTGGGTTAAGTTTACTGGGAGACAATAAAATCATCACTGAGTCAAGCAAACTACATTTTTATGCGGCTCTTCTGACACCAGATTCCAGATTCAAATGTGTGCTGTGTGCCTCGATTTGAAACAAACATAAGTCTACATGGATTCACATTTTAATAAATGTCCCCTGTAAAATTTTACACTGTTTGCAAGTTGCACTAGTTGCCCATTAAGTCCACATATGGGGTACACTTGTTACATTACTGCACCAATGTGGGAATCTCAACCACTGGCCGTCAGCAAAAATAAGATTTCTGATTGATGTTAAGTTGCTCTTTAAACATTAGTAAAATGTCATGGTCAACTCAACTCACCCCACAGTGCCATAGTCTTAACATGACTGCCTATAAATAAAAACGTTTTGTTCTGCACTAATCAAACATACATGTTGTTGTGGGGCATTGAATTTATCATATTGTGCTGTAAGTTTGTTACATACAAAACCTTTTCAAACAAAACCTGTAAATAATCATACATGTAGACTGGAGGTAACTGTGATATAGTAGAGGGACTTCCTCTTTGATCACTGAAGGATGTTTCACTAGCTGTGTGTGTGTGTGTGTGTGTGTGTGTGTGTGTGTGTGTGTGTGTGTGTGTGTGTGTGTGTGTGTGTGTGTGTGTGTGTGATGAAGAGCCATCCTCAGTACTGAGTGAGAGAAAGGGGTTAGCAGGCTCTTAGGGAAAAAACAAGGATTTGAAGCCCGACAGTAATCGTCACCAGGGAAACTATTAAGCCTTCCATATCTGCTTCTAAGAGACCAATCCAAACCTTTCTTCCTGTTTTAACTTAATTTTTTTTCCCTCTCTCCAGCATTAGCAAAGGAGGAATTATAAGTGATTCTGGTTTGCTTGTTACTATGAATGCCATGGATGCCTTTAATGAGGGCAGAGGGTAGATGTGGCACTCGTGGAAGGTGATTTGCTTGGGGGGCGGGGGAATCCAGTGGGCACATAATGTGGCTTACAGGACACTCGGTCACACAGGTAATGCAATATAGATAGTGTTATAAGGGTCAGGGACGATCATGACAAATCGTATTACCATGGTCTCAGCACATTAAAATGAAATGGTCATCCCTGTCGGCTGGGCATGTAAAAACCCTGCTGGGGTTGACAACTCATATTAAATATGCAATGGTTGGCTTTACTTCTAACATCAAATTGCTGGAAAATTCCCAGCCATCTGATAGCTGTGTATTCTTTTCAGTATAGAGGAGGAAAAGGTATATAACATTAATATGGTAAGGTCCTTTGTGCAAGATCTATATTAAATAATTAGTAAAAACGTAGTGTTTACGAACATTATTACTTGTTTTACACGTGTGGCTTAGTGATATAATTATATATAGTTTTTTTTAAATCCAGAAGTATGTATATTAACACCTCAACTGGAAACTGACGTAACCCTAGTAACCAAGTTACTAGTGTCTCAGACATTCACAAAATAGCTAAATTTGCCATTTAGAGCACATCTGCAACAGAGACCCAGTAAGGCCAAATACACAAAATAAAATTATGATATAGATAGATAAATAATAAATAAATAAAACTGTTGCCATGTTCGCTTTAGGACAAAGATCAATAACGGAGTTATGTTAAATCAATACAGAGCTTAGAGATTCGGGGCCAGTTTCCTGGACAGGGTATAAATTAAACCAGGAGGAGGCCATAATCTAAAACAGTCAATACTGGTTTAATCAAGTGACTTTCCTAAATACTTCTTAAATTTAGTTGCTCCTGGACTATGGACTAGGGAGTAGAACCAGGTCGACTATAGTTTATCTTTCAACTTGAAATATCCCACTCAGTATATCGGTCACAATTTAAAAACAAAACAAAGAAAAACACGAAAGGACCTGTGTCAAGTTTATTATTTGTTTACATTGTGTGATTAATTTTTTAAAGTACTATGTGTTGATATATCATTATTGGATCTCCCAAATCGATATTGACAACAGCCTCAAAAATCCAGTATCTGTCAGGCTATACTAAAAAGTAAGATTAATTTCAAACCAATTACTTAAGCAC